GTTACCTGTGTCAGTGCGTGTCTGGCTATAGAGCGACGGGGGAAAGCGCGTGTGTGGGTGAGTACTGTCGGTGTGTGGGTGAGTACTATGTGTGTGGGTGAGTACTGTTGGTGTGTGGGTGAGTACTATTTGTGTGTTAGTTCTGTTGGTGTGTGAGTGGGTACTGTGAGTGTGAGTACTGTCTTTGTGTGGGTGAGTACTGTGTGTGTGTGTGTGTTTGTGTGTGTGTGTGTGTGTGTGTGTGTGTGTGTGTGTGTGTGTGTCAGTGTGTGTCTGGGTATAGACAGACGACTTACTGCGCGTGTGTGGGTGAGTACACGACACAGTACATCACTGTAGAAGCTGCTCTGACGGCCATCTGTATAAAACGTTCACCCGTGAGTACACGACAAAATAATTACTGTAAGACCTGCTGTGACGGCCACCCGTACCATTCCCCTGTCTATTCTATCGTTGTCCAGACATTGTCATTAAGAAAGCCAGCAAGATCTCTGAATATGATTTTGCTAGAATTGATGAAATGCATAGCACCACAAGTATAAAATAGATAAAAAGCTTTATAAACGACCCTTCACACTCACTTTCCACGCAAATTGATCAGATCACGCAGAGGCAGATAATATGCACTGCTAAAAGCAAAGAAAAAAATATATATAAAAGAAGTTTTTTACCATCTAGCATAAGGCTTTTGTCAGAATAAGCATCAATGTGTATTGTTCTTTAGAATGTCTATCTGTATATAACCCAAACGGTTTTGTAATTAAATTCCTGCATGTGGTTGAATGATGCATCTGATGTGATATGTACATTTTGTCATCTTTACTTCTCTCTTCATATTGAATTTTAATGAGAATAATATATAATAAAAAATGTCATGTATACCTGCATTATATTAATAATAATAATAATAATAATAGATAGCATTTGTATAGCGCATATCCCTGCTCAACAGCAGGCTCTATGCGTTTTACACTATATTATTACCCCAGCAGACCATAGAACACTCCGAAACATTCTCAGCTTCCCGGGAAGCATACAGGGTGAGTGTTTTTACAGTCCTGTACAGTCAAGGAAAATTTCTCTCTGGGATAATAAAGTATTACCTTATCTTGTCGTATCTTATCTTATCTTATCTTATCTTCCCCTGTCTATTCTATCATTGACCAGACATTATCATTCTCCTGTCTATTCTGTCTTTGTCATTCCCCTTGGGAAGAATTAAAAAACTACACTGTAAGAGGTCAACTTCTTGATAACATATGGGCCATTTACGAAAACAGTATAATAAGTACAGTAACAACGTAATAGGGACTCACAGAATGGTTCTGGATAACATCCGGAATAAGACAAGGTTGTCTCCTATCACCACTACTATTTATCATATAAGGATAGAATTACAAAAGAGGCCAACACAGAGCTAGACGTCCTAAATGAATTACTCTTGGCTGATGACCAAAGCCTGGCACACAAAGATGAACAAAGTCTCCAACACCACACCACCAGATTAAACGAAGAATGTAACAACTACTACATGAAGATCAACATCAACAAAACAGCGACAATGAAAGTAAGTAGAAAGCCAGAACCACTCAGGATACACATCAACAACAACAGTCTCAGACTGGTCCAAGCATTTAAGTACCCCGGAAGTATATTCACAGAGGATGGGCAACTGAACAAAGAAATTGAAACACGAGTACAAAAGGCTAATAATGTTAGTTAGTTACCAGCTTACTCCACCACTGAAACATCCTGACATCCCCATGACAACAAAACTCAAAATGATCAACAACATATTCATCCCAAACATGCACCAAACAAGACATTGGAGCAAAGAATTACAACATGTAAAATGCAATGCCTTAGAAATTATAATAGAAAATCAGTAAACAAGACCAGGCGAAACAAAATTAGAAACTCTGTAATCCGAGAAATGGAGGCCACAAATGATGTCATGCATCACATCCAACACCAAAGAATCAAATGGTTTGGACATCCCCCTGACCCAAGCTCTCCAGCTGGCGACAAAGAGACGCCTCTTTCTTCCCGCGACACCCAAAAGGGTATAAGCGGCGGATAAATTAAAAGTAATGTAAAGTCATTCTCCTGTCTATTCTGTCGTTGTCATTCTCCTGTCTATTCTGTCGTTGTCATTCTCCTGTCTATTCTGTCGTTGTCATTCTCCTGTCTATTCTGTCGTTGTCATTCTCCTGTCTATTCTATCGTTGACCAGACATTGTCATTCCCCTGTCTATTCTGTCGTTGTCCAGACATTGTCATTCTCCTGTCTATTCTGTCGTTGACTAGACATTGTCATTCTCCTGTCTGTTCTATCGTTGACCAGACGTGGACGAGTGTACAGAATCCAGCCACAAGTGTGCCCAGCTGTGCACCAACACTCCCGGCGGCTACCAGTGTTCGTGTGAACAGGGCTTTAGAGTGTCTGGCCCCGACAGAAGGAACTGCTCGCGGCTACAAGGTGGGTCGTTACGTCACCCTAGTTGGCTTACGTCGTACCATAGATATATATTGCTATTGATTATATGTCACTGAGAGACCAGGGATATTGCTTCCGGCTACAAGGTGGGTCGTGACGTCACTACCGTTGGCTTATGTCGTACCATAGATTTATATTGTCATCTATCACGGACAGACCAGGGATATTGCTCTCAGCTTAGGTGGTGCCATAAATTTATTTGTTATATTATATATCACTGACAGACCCCGGGAAGGGCGGAGTCTGTCACTCCTCCAAATCCCCCACTAGACCGCCGTCCAATCCAGGACGGCAACCTAGAAAACACTCTGCCTCCCCCGCAAGGAGTCAGAGTGTTTCTTCGAAGCCGGGGCCTTTGAGCTCCAAACCAAAACCTAAAAAATCATAATGGCGGTCCTGCAATGGAATGCTGGCGGAATCCGACCTTCCATTGCAGAATTGCAACATTTACAGGCCACACTGTGCCCACGGGTGGCCTGTATTCAAGAAACAAAATTCGCCCCGGCTTCAACCATAGACTTACAAAGATTTACTGCGTACCTTCACATTCACGCGGAGAACCAGATTGCTTCCGGTGGTACCACCATCTACACCGACAACAACACACTCCACAAAACCCCGGAGGAACAAGATCTGGTTCTCTTGGGAATGTGAGGACGCAGTAAAGAAAAAGAAGGCGGCGTATCGAGAGGCCGTCAACAACACCACTGTAGAAAACAAGATCAATTATTTAAAGGCTCGAGCTGTGGCACTTAGATTCCTCAGGGAGAGCAAGAGACAATCATTCCAAAAATACATCTCCAAAATCAACAGCCAGACACCACTCAACCAAGTTTTCAAAATTGCTTTAAAAAATTCTTAGGTAGACGCACAGACACCATTCGGCACGTCCAGAGGCCGGATGGAACCACAGCTGAAACACAAGTAGACATCGCAAACACAATAGCTACATCTCTCGCCAAAAACTCATCCCAAGCAAACTACAACACCACTTTTCAAAACATCAAAACTAACAGAGAAAAACAACACCTAAACTTCCACTCAAACAACACTGAAACCTACAACGCAGACTTCACAATAGACGAACTAACATCGTGCATCTCGGACCTGGGCGATACATCCCCGGGACCGGATGACATCCACAACAAGATCATTAGACACTTACCCTCAGAAACACTCACATTCCTACTACACATATACAACGACATGTGGCGGTCGCACTCCTTTCCGGAGTCTTGGCGTCTCGCCGCTGTCATTCCAATACCCAAACCAAACAAAGACCACACACACCCATCCAATTACAGACCTACAGAACTAACGAGCTGTCTCTGCAAACTGATTGAAAAAATGATTCACAGGCGACTCATGTGGTTTCTGGAACCAACATCTTGTCCGCCCGGAGACCTTTATACGCGAGGCGTTCGCTGAAGGAGGCCACATGATCGCCATCTTTTTCGACTGTTGTTGTTGTTTTTAATTAAAACTTTTGGGTGTAGTACAACTGAAAAAGTGGCTTACGAAATCTAACTTGGGTCAGAAATGTTGAAAACGGAAACCTATTATTTAGGCTGTCTTAAAGGGGGG